CTGCTTGTATTTTCAAATGTTCCTCCTCTGTATCACTGAGAACTCTCAAAAAATACATCTGAAAATATTGCTAAAGCACCCAAAATCATTTCATTATTGAAGCATCCACTACTTGAAAACATAGGACTCACCTGAAGAGACACTGAAGTTCAGACGTATAATAACATGATATATACTGCATTTTTATATTTTCTTTTCACGAGATGAATTTCTCCCTTCAAACAAACTACATTCAATAAGCTCACATAATAATGTTCAAGTAAAAAACAACAACAAAAAAAGCCAAGAAGCCACTACATGGAATAACTGGAAACTGTTCAAGTGAGGTTTACAAAGAGCCTGCAAAGTGAACATATAGTCTTGAAGTCTTTCCAAAGAATTAAGTTTGATTAAAACAATGGAGACAACTGCTGTGCATCTCAAAGTGGTACACTGTTTTCCCAAAGAAGTGGTATGAGGCCCAGTGTCTCACTTAAGAAAGTTGCCCTGCCAAAAAAGAGGCTAAAGCAAAACACAAGGGTATCAAAAGAAAATGAAGATAAGGAACATCAGAGAGAGTATGTCTGCCAGAAAGAGCATCTGTAATACTATGCAGTCACAAACTCCTTTACACATTTTCAAACACTGTCTTAGTCCTCTGTTTGAAGAATTGTTTCAGTTTCTCTGCTTTCCAGCTGAGTGCTCCAATGAGAAAGCTTGCCAATTACGTGGCATAGCATGAAAGATGCAATAGATCAGTAATATGCTTCTCCTACTCACCTAGGAAGAGAACGGGAACAGGGTGAGGAAGTTCCTCAGTTAACACCTCATCTACTTGGAACTCTTGTGCTACTCTCGCAGGGAACCCCCTTTCGTTTTTTAAGGCTCAGTGATGTCAGATTTGCCTATAGTTATGTTTGGCCAATGCTCAAATTCAGAATATCGCATTTTGAGCAGGATCCGTGCAAAGATAAACAAGTGCATAGAAACACACCTTACACACTGCAAGATTACATAGTTCAATTTCTCTCTGGGCGATTTACTACTTGTACAATTTAACAGTGAGATAAGGCATTATTTAATTTTCACTTTTACTCTTCGGATACTTGATGTCATATCAACAAGACAAAAGGCAGTGGCAATCAAACAAGAAACAGAAATATTACCCTATAGCATTTTTTCTAATTAAAATTTTAATAGAAAACTCAAAGAAGAGGCAGTAGATAATGAACTAAGTTACTGCTTCTAGCAGTTGCAACTGCATTACTATGCAGGAAGTCTTTTGAAAGCTTCACTAAAAATACAAAAATTATAGTGTAACACAAACTGTAACACTAAGTATTACCTGATAATAACAAAGCCACATCAGCTTATAGAAAACAAATACAAACAGACAGCAGAACATTCACCAGGCTTCCACAGAAACCCCAGGATGCTACTTAGAAAATGAGGTATAGGAAAACTGGGGACAGACTTTTTTTAAGAGCATGAACATGGAGAAATGGCTTTAAACTGGAAGAGGGTAAATTTAGACTAGATATCAGGAAGGGATTCTTTACTGTGAGTGTGGTGAGACACTGGAACAGGTTGCCTCTTCCTAAAAGCATTAAAGGCCAGGCTGGATGGGGCTTTGAGCATCCTGGTAAGAGGGAGGTGTCCCTGCCTTTAGCAGGGGGTTGGAACCTTAAAGGTCCCTTCCAACCCAAACCATTCAATGATTCTATGCATACTTTAAAATTGTGAAAACTTTTCACATTCCCAGAATATCACAGGACACATATGTCCTTCCAATGGCATTGTCAAACATGTTACAAAGTAGGTGCTCTTGCTTTGTCTGGGATGCCTTTCCAAACAAGCTACAAAGTAAAGCCGTAACAGTAGTTTTGAAACACAACAAAATACCAGAGATCAAAATGCAAGAATAGGGAAATTCTTTTACAGTTGCTTGAGGGAAAAAATAATTTAAAGAGAGTAAAACAACTTCCCCATTCACTTTTCTCCCTATCAGTTGGTAGTTTCCTCTGTTCACATCTGTTCCTCAGAGACACCGCATGCATGAGTTCCCCAGTAGACTACTGAGCAATATGACAAGTATCTGTTAAACATGTTCTGCAGTAAGAGCACATGCAACAGAGTATCTTGTGTACTTGGTCTGTAATGAAAATTGCAGAACATCTGCAAGTGAAGGCAAACCATAAGGATTGGTTAGAGCAAAACTAAAGAACCACACCTTGCCTTAGAGAAAATGCGGTGAGGCAGCATCACGTCAGCATTTATTCCACTCTCTCAGATTCATTAGATCTGTCCTACCCGGTGTTAAGCAACATACCAGCATGGCAGAAACATCATTCATACACAAGCAAGAAGTGCACACATGCCACTTTTTCAGTCCAATCTTGCAATCAGCTGTACATCCTCCTCTGCAGCTTGGGCTCTGCCCTGCCTGCCCTCCCTCTCAGCTTCAGCATTAGAAAAACAGGGTTCACACCACCCTGTACTTACTCCCCACCCCTCTCTCCAGACACTTTCACAGCAGCCCCGCTCTGATCCAGTACTAAACCTTCACCTGAGAATTCAAATTGAGGAGGGAACAGGTCTGTTTTGGGCCTGGTGGGTATCCCTGTACTGCGACCTCCGAACTAGCAAATCAACCTTTAGTGAGATTGGGAGGTATACTAGGAAACACAAAGACAGTGGTCCAAAACTCTCTGAAACTTTAGTGATCTCCTACTGATAATTTTTAGACAAAAGAACTACACTTGATATAGATATTGTATTTTATTTCATACTATTTCAATTCTCAGCATCTTTTACCTAGTTTTCTGTACTTTCAATACAAATAAGTACTTCCTACACTCAGTCTACTTCAATTTCCTCCTATTCCTGTATTATACATCCTGCTTTACTAATATGCTATGTTCATTCTTTTCCATGCCTTTTCTTCCCCTATTTAGAAATTGGTTTTTAGCACTTTTCAGTGTACACCTGCTTTGAAAAACATTCTGACAAACGAGTATTATGACAAGATGGGGAGCATCATTACACAGCAGTGCAAAAGTTCATTCATCATACTTTTGGTATGAAGAGCTCTGGAAACAAAAGCAATAAATATGAAAAATAAAGAACAACTTATTTCCCCCAGAGAATAGACTGCTCAAATAGACTGTGTAGAAAAAGAAATATGCTTATCCAGAAGTTTGGAAATTTAATTTAAGACTTTATTGCTACTACTAAGCAAGTCCAGCTTAGTAAGCTGTTGTCACAGCTGCATATCAATGCATTCTCTTCTAGAAACCACTGATGGAACACTGAAAGGCTCACATACACAAAATACACTGACTGTCATGCCCAAAGATGTTCTGCTGGACAACACATCCTTGGGACACAGAGCAGACGGCTCCCTCAAACTCTACTATACAAAGCTTTTGTGGTTGTTAAGATGAGAAAGAAAGCTACAAGAACTCTGAAGATGGTCACATACACACTACCAGATTCTCCACATGCCATAAGAAAAAAAGCACGATATTTTTCACAACTACTTTAAAGAAAAAGTCTCCTTCTCCTACTCTCAGTCTGCTCAGGACAACTTTTCCAAGTTGGGTGAGCACACGGGCTCACCCAAAACTCAAACTCTGTGTCCGAGAGCAGTGTCCAAACACTCCTTGCACTCCAGCACTCAGGGCTGTGCCCACTGGACAGCCCGTTCCATGCCCACTGCCCTGTGGTGCAGAACCTTTTCCTGATGATCCAACCTCCACCTTCCCCAGTTTCAATACATTATCTTACACATATCATTCACTACACAAACAGCTAGGTGTTTGTTCCTTTTTTTTCCGACTTAGCTAACTTTACCTCTCATGATTCCTTGTTTTACTCTTCCACATTTAAAATAAATTAACTAAGCAAAACCTCATTAAATTTACACAAGCCTCCTTTGGCTCTGCAAGTCTCCTAAGCTCTAAAGGCTCAGGATATGGCTCAGTACAAGCCAGGAAAACAAAGAATCAGTACACTGGCCTGTTTAAAAGATAAGAGGGCCTCCTTATCTCCACAAAGGACACGCATCAGTGATTCACGTCTGCAAAGGCAGAAAGTAGCTCAGATTGAGCAAGCTTAAAAAAAAAAAAATACCAAAAAAGCCACATTTTGACAACCGCAGCTGAATTCCACGAGTCTCTCGGGCTCTCAGGAACTTGTTTCCAACTCTGCCCGCTAAGCTCCGAGTGGACTGCCGTCCACCTCCAGAGCGCGCCGATGGGACGGGGCCAGAAGGCCGCCGCGGGACAGTCAGCCCTGCCCCGAGCGTAGCGGGGAACAGGCCCGAGGCGGGAGTCCCGCACAGCGCCGTGCGCAGGCCGTGCCCCGCCCCGCAGCCTATCAGCCCCAGCCACACCGTCGTCCTCCCCCAGCCGGGAAGCTCGCTCTCAGCCCGGGCCCGGCAGGTGTCGGCGGCGCCGCTCCCGCCCGAGGCCGGCCCGAGGAAGGGCCCCGAACCGGTGCCGGCTGCCGGGAGAGCAGAGGGCCGCGGGGCGGGCGGGTAGAAGCCGGCGGCTTACCAAGAGGAGGAGGAGGCTGCCGGGCTGAGGCGGGAGCAGGAAGATGGCGGGTCTCATGGTAGATCAGGCGCCCGGCGGCGGGGTGGGGGGAAGAAACGCGGCTCCCACGCTCGGCGGCCGCGGCGGTTCCGCACTTCCCCCGTCGCCAGGAAACACCCGCGGCCGTCCCACCGCCGGGCCCCGCGCCGCCCGCCTTCGCCACTCACTTCCGGGTGCCCGCAGGAGCACGCCGGGAAGCGTAGTTCTTAGCTGGGGAAAAGGAGAAGAACGCCCTCCCGGCGCGCCCCGCGCGGAGGACCCGGCTATCCCAGCATGCAGCGGGGGCGCCCCCTCCGTCAGGGCGGGGCGGGCGGTGCTGAGGTGAGCGTTGGGGCGCGGTGGCCGCGGCGGGGCGGTTGTAGGGCTGGGAGGGGTTTGCCTGTTTGTTCTGACCCGGCGCTCGTTGTCCGGCTTTGGGGTTTCCTCTTCCTCCCTTTCTCGTTGCTTTGGGTCCGGAAAAGTTCTCCGAGTTTACGTAACTGGGGTAACTCAGCTCGTGAGTAGCAGCGGGCGACTGTGCTGTCTTAATGTCTCTTCTTGTGCCTGTACGTTGAATGCCCAGTCTTCTGGGTCCGCTCCTGTTGTTGACTGATGCTGCTTTCCTGGCAGCTTTATCAATAAAATTTGATAGAGTGGAGTCATTGCAGCCCGTGTTTCTCTCCGTGTTAGTTTCAGAAAGAGAGCGTGAATTATATGCTTGATTCCCCCAATACAGTGTACACAGCAGATAATGCCAACAGTATCACTTCTTATAAATAGATCTTGTGGTTATTTCTTGATTATTGTTGGTTTTTGTCCCGCAAAAGTAAGAAAAAACTTTTGTAGTTGAGGGTCTTTATCAAACTGCTCTTCCAGTTTGTCATATACAGGAGAGCAACATCTGAGGAAAGCGATGTATTTTCCTTTTATAGTTCCTCTTAATATCTCATAATTTCTGTGATTCCGAATTAGGTCTTTCAATATAGTGATGATACTCTACTGAAAGTTGTTGTAGAGGTAATTGGCTGCTTCTCTTACTGATATGATTACTGAAACTTTGTACAGTAGTGATTCTTCTTGTTTTGTTTTTTTTCTTGGAAGTTAGGAATGTCATTACTAATTCTCTGCGACGTGCAGTCAGTTTAATATTACTGCTGATTTGTAACTGGGATGCTTCTGGTGCTTTATTAAGGTCTCCAATATTTGCTGAATTTTATGCTGTAATCCGTGGATATCATATAGAGTATTCACATCCATTTGTAATCTATTTGGGGTGACTTTGTAAGGACTGTCAGCAGTGTGGAAATGAAATTAATGCTAACCAAACTATTTTGTTAGCACTGGGAGAGATGAGGCAAATGCATCTTTTGTCATAACTGTTTTCATTACTTTTTGTCATAACCTTTCCAAAATAAAGGTAGAGCAAATACAGTATTAAAAATACTAACAGAGACTTGCTGGCGTTTGTATTCCAGCTACCATTACTGCCAGTTCTCATTCACATCAATGTAAACCTTACCTTGTGAGCTATGCTGTGCTTTGCTTCAGGAATTAATCCATGTTTTGTACTTCTCAGAATGCTGATTCCCCACCTCTTCCTCCAACTGTTGTAGACATCCCCCTAAAATAGTAAAACTGAAAAGTAGATGTTGTTTTTAAGTTCTTCTGGTTTGTATTTAAACAGTGAGTCTTTAACTCAGATGCCTTTTTGGAGTCTTTTTATTAAATTGGTTCAACCTAGAGCCACAACAATGATGAAGGGGCTGAAGCATCTCCTGTGAGGAAAAGCTGAGAGAGAGGGGACTTCAACCTAGAGAAGGGGTGGTCCAGGGGGGGATCTGTTAAGTATCTAAAGTGAAGTGCAAATAACACAGATCCAGGCTCTTTTCAGTGCTGCCCCATGCCAGGGATAGAGGTAATGGGCACAGACTGAAGCACAGGAGGTTTCGTCTGAACACCAGGTAGTATTTCTATGCCCAGAGTCTGTGGAGTCTCTTTGGAGGTATCCAGAAGCTGCTGGGACATGGGCCTGAGCACCCTGATTTGGGTCGCCCTGTTGCAACTGGGACTGGATAGAACCAGGTGAGCCCAGAGGGCCCTGACAACTTCAGCCACGCTGTGATTCCTATTTACGATTTCTTTTGTTTGGTTCCATGTGACAATGTTGAAGATGGAATTGTGTTAGAATCACATAATGCACAGTATTCCTGTAGCGTGTGAGGAAAACATTTGGTTCTTCATCCTGTTGAGTACTCCAGATAATAAAGCATTTTTGAGGGTGCTCAAATTGGCAGTATAAGAGCTGGAGGGAGCATTCTTCACTTGTTTAGAAGAGTTGTCCAGAATATTCAGATACGGTTAGTGGACAAGTCATGGGGAAGTATCTTCCAACCACGCGTGTCTGAACCAGCTGGAATGATAGTGAAAGAAAGAATCTGCAAATAAAATGCAAAGAAAATGGAAGAAAATACATCGGTGATAGCTTTGGGGATAAAACTACTATCTCAAAATCCTAACAGGTGTAAAATTCCAGTGGTGTATATTGGTCCACTTAAAACAGAGATTGCTCATTTATCTTCCTATCCACAGGAAGTGTACTGAAGAAAAGACAAGACAATTTAAATTCAAGCTGCAGCCTTATGCATCAAGTGCCCATTAAATTATGTAGCATCCATCTCTGCAGCTTTCTTCCTTCTCTCTTTCCTCCTGTTTATATTGCAGCTAAGTATGGTAATGTTTTCATTTGTGGTGTTTTAGGACATTTTTTCTGCCTTCCATAGTTGTACAAGTGGAAATGTTCTTAACCTTCTCTCACCTTAGCTCTTTGAACTCTTTTCTTGTCTTCTTCTGAAAGTAGCTAGGGCTGTGAATCCATTAATCACTCATTCTTTTAATGAGAAAGAATCTACTTATGTGCTAAAACAAGTACACCAAAAAACATTTGGCAACTTTTCTGGGACATAAAGGAATTAGATAAGGATGGAGGTGTTCATGATTCAAGAGATGCTGAACGTTGTCATGTTATTCAGAGGCTTATTCAGTGGTGGAAGAGGAGAGTGTCAGGACGGGATCCTGTTGTTCTATAGGTTTCAGTTGACCAGGTGTGGCTCCAGAACTATTTCCAATTGTTCTGAAAAACGCTTTCATAAGATCATGAGGAGTTCATCCTTGCACCTCTGCACTGACATTCTCAGCTGAGCAAACTTGTGGTGCTATGAGCATGCAGGCCCTTCTTTATTTCTGATACGCAGTGCAGACCTGAATTGGTCATTATCAAGGTCTGGTACACTGATAGTTCAGTGAAGGTGACACTGGTAGTTCAGTGAAGGTGATAGTTCCATTTCAAAAGAGGCTAGGAAGGCAAAAGTACTAGCAGGTATAATTTAGGTAATAAATGGAGAAGAAAAAAAGAGAGACCTTTTAGCAGCCTAACTCCAATTTTTGCCTACATCTTGAATACCTAGTGGTGTTTAGTGGTGTTTAGTTTCCATCTCAATGGGGTATGACTGAACTGTGGAAGGGTCCAAAAAAGCTAATTAAAATGTTCAGACATACATAAAAGCCCCTGCCTACGGAACAGCTTAATAATGTCCAACACTTTCAGCTAAAGGAATATATGATTGTGGAAGCTATGTCAGAGATGTGTAACATAATTACTGATAGATGAGAACTTCTGTTTACCTTCCAGTTCTAGATTTAAGGGGCCTCAAATGCCAAGAGCCACTTCAGAACAGATGGAGGAAAGCAGTTCATCCATACAGTGTTTGGTTGTGCTGTGGCACTCCTTGATCAGTGGATATAGTGAATAAGCTTGAGAGGAGACTAGACAGGTTTGTAGAACAGAAATTAACTGAAGAAAATTAACAGAATTTTACAAGCTCTAAATACACAGAAATAAAAGTCCACTTCAGGAAGTGTTGGAATAGTTATAAGTTAAGACAATATTTAGAAAAGAGGAACAAAGGCGTAAGTGTATTTACCTTGTTCTTTGCTACTGGCCAGTTTGAGACAGAGCTTGATCTGATTCACTGTGGCTTTTCTTGCACATGTTTTCCTTCTTCTGTTCAGGTCTGAAGAAGGCTCAAGATCTAAAAAGTTGGTCTGATAATTTCTGTTATGCCAGTTGGTCGAACAAAAGATACTACTTCTGGGTATAAACCTTGCTCTACGTATATTCATAAACCATCATGGTAAAATGCCACCAGATACCAAGTCAATACTTGATAAACACCACAGGTTACTTGAAATATCCATACCAGCACTCTGAAGAAGGATCTGTTGAATGTATAGATAAATACTGTTCTGTTTGCAGACTTTCGCAAATCTTACTGACTAAAATTTATTTTGAAGGCAACAAAACCGTAGGATATTTATACGTGTACTTAATGTAAAGTTTTGTTAATTGACTCTTGACTAGAAGTAGATTTAACTCACAAAAAAAAAAACAACCCGCATTTGTTTTTTCCTATTGTTTAATGGGGCTGTTTATTTTCATTAGCATTGTTTAAGTCACTGTAACGTTGTATCAGTTCAGTTGTTTTTTTTTGTCCCCTAGAACTGAACTCTTACAGAATATGTTGGTGGTACAGATCTGACCTATGATAATACCTTGCAAGAGTATGAATATTTCAACAAACTGCCTCTTCAGTGGTTCCTCATTAGCATCTGAAGTGCATGCTGCTGCTGTTAATGGGGATAAGAGTACCCTCCTAAAGTTAATCGCAGGTAAATGTTTTTATTGTACATGCTTTTTGGTTTTGGCTTATTGCTCTGATTTATAGAATACGTTTTTGTTTCTTGATTGTATGTATTTCTAGAAAAATAGTCTTGAAAACAGAACTGATTTGTCATTGTATTATTTGTTGCACATGATCGAAACTTTCATATGAAATACAGCAAAAATTGATGTGCTATGTAATCAGAAGACTTGTTTAAGACTCATGTTTCAAGGAATTAAAAATTCTGGAGAAGTGCTCTGGGCTGAAATAGTTTGACCCCATTTCCCTATTTTTTGTAATCACTGATTTTTTGAGAAATGGGAAAAACTTGTTTTTCTAGTGATTTGTGTAGTTAATATCTTGACATGCCTTAGAAATAAGTCCTATTTGTTAATTTGATGCTCACAACTAAAGATGAAGAAAGTGACTGACCCTATGGAGGCTGAAGTTAAAATGTTCCTGATCATTTCCATCCATTTAAGCCCAAAATTTCACCTTCCCTCTCTGTCTGAGAACTGGTACAGTATTGGAAGTTAGTGGTTTTCAAAAGCAGCTTATGTTATATGTTCCAAAAGCAATCTTATATACATTTGAAAAACTATCTAGCTGAAAACTTCTATTTTCAGCAATTTTGATTAAGTGCAATTTCTGCTGATAATGTAGAAGTTCTGTTTGTTCAGTCTTTTGAAAATTTCACTCTTGTAACTTGGTGAGGCTGAATGACTCTGCAATAATAATTAAAAAAAAAAAAAAAAGAACAGACACCTTCGTTGTGTTTATACCACTAACTGTCAGTTTTAATGGGAATAATGTCTTTAATGCCAACAGACCAGTGTAGAACAATTCATAAAAAGTGAACGGGTGGTTGATATGCAGATGCTTCTAGAAATCTGTGGGATGCAACTCCTTCAAAAATCTGTTTTTAAAAGTATTCAGCCTGCACAGAAAGGGGAAAAACGTCTGATGGTAAAAATCTTGACTAACAACCAGAAATGACAAGAATAGTTTTTGTTGTGTTCAGTTTGGTTTTGTTTATCTCACAGCCAAAATATACTTTGAAAATGCAAAGGAGCAAGGAGCAAGTACTTTGACACACTTTGTCAAACATACTGCAAAACACACATTTGAACCAGCTATGGAAATAGCTTTTTATTCTTCCAAAAGGTAATAATGCAGCAACAAAATAAAAATGCTGCGTTCTTTGTAAATGAGGGAAAGAAAGCTGCACGATCCTTTCAGTCTTTGCTGTAATGGCAGAATTTGGCTCTTCTGTATTGTTGTGTCTTTGCAGGATATGACACAGACCTTACTTTTGCCCAGACAGTACAAAAAAAGTATTGCCTAGCAGAAGAAGAATGCATCAGAGTAATATTTTTAGCTGTTTACCAGGCACAGTTGAAAGTATAACTCGATGCCAAAAGCAAATTGAGCAATTGGCATTACTCACCAAACTTCTTGACTTCATTTAGCCACACCATATAATTGAGGACAGTACATCAGTGCTGTGTGTGCGTATGCTGGATTGCTTAGCGTCATGCTGCTAACACAACTAGCTGCTGCATCTGATTGTGTTGACAGCAGTATATCCTGTAAGATGAAGTCTCACTTTCTGTTTTAGGGGAGGAGAATAACTATTAATTTCCTCTTTGACTCTTTGCTGTTTGGTTTTACTCCTTTTCCTACCTGCTGAAGTTTAACAGAGCATGCGTGACTGTGTACAAACATATACAAACGACAATTACTTTCCTATAATTCATGAATATGGACACATGTAATCCTCCCTGCCACCACTTGTAATTTTAGAGAAGCAGCTGTTTGAAATAATACAGTGTGTATTATGTAATGTTTGTGGGTTTTTTTTTTTTTACATCCTGTACAAAGTAAGCAGCATGAATATACAAAATCAAAGGTAAGAAGAAAATTTACGTAGAGAAAGGGAATTTTGTAACAAACTGGCCCTTTATGTTAACAAGTCATGATGCTTAATTACAGGACTTTCTTTGAAGCCTGTAGGTTAAATAACATAAAGCATAATATATGACAAGTTTATTGTATAACCCACATGCAAAGTCTTGCATTTTGTGAGCTGACTAATGCTGTATCATACTGTTTTAGAATTGTACTATCTGTGGCTCTGAATAATGTTCACCTTATTTTCTCTGGACATGTCTTTAATAGTACCTCTGTGTTAAGAATCGTCTGCATGGTTTTAATCCCAGACACAAAGGAATCAAAAGTTAATTTTGTGTTTGGATGATTATCTTACGTTTGACATTTTGATGTAGGGTCTAGATAAGATGTATATAATTGTCTTGTTTCTGAGAATAAAGAAATGTGTATAACAGCTGTTATACCTAAGCGTCCATTCAGTCCAGTTCACTCTAGTGGTGGTATGAGAATTACATAGAAATGTTAGTGTCTGGTGTGACTGCTTGTATAGACTGTGAGGAATCAAAGATGTCTGAATGTGAGAGTTTAATTTCAGAACTGGGCCATTGGATTCCATGGTGTTTGTAATCTCTGTTGGCAACAAGATTGTGAGATGCATGGTCTGGGTGGGCTGAAGATGAAGGTGTGCATCCTGGAAAGGGAGGAGAATCAAACAAACTTCCTTTCTTAGGCAGGAATGTGGAAGAGGGTTTAATGTTGTCAGAGCACGTTTTAATCAAGCTAATGCGTGAATCTTTAGAAGGCTGTTTTTGCTATCTTGATTACAGAAAATAATAATTTACTCCAACTGTGAAGTCCACAAGATGTTGTGGTTACTGCATATCAAGAGTTTAGTCTTTCTTATCACCCAATGATGACGTAATAGCTCTTAGTACTTGTCCTAGCTCTTACCCTGAGCACTCCTTCCATGAACTACCCACAGGGCTAACCATTCTAAGGGCCCTAGAGGCGTGCAAGCACAGTGATTTCTGAAAATAGTTTACCTTAAAAAAACAGGCAAATCACTGTCATCAAGTTTTGAAGGTCTTGCTCATTTTTTATTCAGATGCCTTGCAGTCATGGAAACCCTTTGTCTTCAGGTACTGCACTGTCTGGGAGCTGAACTGGGCTTGTTTACCTTGGAAAAGAGAAGGCTCTGGGGAGACCTCATTGTGGCCTTCCAATACTTGAAGGGAGTATATGAACAGGAGGGGGAACAGCTGTTTAAAAGGGTGGATAGTGGGGACAGGGGGGAATGGTTTTAAACTGAGACAGGGAAGGTTTAGGTTAGATATTAGGAGGAAATTTTTCACATAGAGGGTGGTGACACACTGGAGCAGGTTGCCCAAGGAGGTTGTGGATGCCCCATCCCTGGAGGCATTCAAGGCCAGGCTGGATGTGGCTCTGGGCAGCCTGGTCTGCTGGTTGGCGACCCTGCACATAGCAGGGGGGTTGAAACTGGATGATCATTGTGGTTCTTTTCAACCCAGGCCATTCTATGATTCTGTGATACTAGATTCTATGATTCCATTCTTCCAATTCATCCAAACAGAAGGGTTGTACATGAGCTTTAGGCCATTTTTGCTGTTCTTAACACCAGCCATTTATTTTAGTCTCTACATTCCGCATATCCTCTAACATTATATAACAGACAACTCGGAATTTGAGGTTTAACTCAGCTGCTAATTTAAGAGAAAGTACCATGCGAGCAGCTACATACATGTGTTTGATTGGGAAAAAAAATTATGTTTTTGGATTTATTTTCAAAAATACATGTAATTGTGCGAGTCCCATCAGCTTCAATTCATAAAATTCATATGAGGTATTGTTGAGACTGTTCATACCAGAAAGTGGAATAGCTCGTAATTTGGAGAAACTGGCACGTTTGCTTGGATCAGAGCCATGTTAGGTTATGCTTTGGAGCTCAGTTTCTGTATCTTGCTGCACAGGCCTGCATGGTTGTTCGTAACTGGCTTTGATGTTTCTCTACTGTGCCTTATAGAATGGCAGAAGTCTAACTTTGAAAAAGCTTTTTTTTTTTTTTTTTTTTTTTTTTTTATAAAAAATATTGATTTATAAGGCATGAACAGTTTCACAATATATAAATTTTGAAATATATTTTTTTTAGTAGTAGGGGAAAGAATTACTTTAAAGCTGCAGCCAGTTTGCAATGAAGTCAGTGCTTTGAAATGAAAAGCCTAGCAAAAGATTTTGCAAGTTAAAGAAAATAATCAAAAAGTAATTCCACTGTTAAACTTGTATGTTGCATGTTGAATTATTTCCTAATGAACATATGCTTTATAAATAACACAACTTGTCGTTTTGAGTAGAAGTAAAGAATTTCAGGTTTCAAAACAAAATTGAGATTAAAACACTTAAATGGATATTTAATTACCAGAGCTTTTTTCCTCAACAGTTTTGGTTACACATTGGAATTTTAAAACAGCATCAACCACGTGCATAGTATTAGTAAAATTGTATTTCCTATTTTTTAAATGTGTGATAGGGCGTAAATAGTCTAATACCTTTAAACTTAGCTTTTAACTCACATCTAGAAACGTATTGCAAACTCTAATTGTAAAAATCTTAAAGCTACTTTAAAAAGTGCTATCATAAAATTAGGAGGTTTTTTTATGTCTTCTGTTTTGACTGGGGTATGTGCAATACTTCTCCCATTCTACGCAAAGTTCAGACCAAATTCTTAAATAGCTTTTATACAAGACCATGGTGGAAAAAAAATGCTTGGTGAAAAAAATGTAAAATTCCACTGTTTGGTTTATTAATTGATTTTTCTTGCAGAGAAAAACATACTTTGCTCATTTGTTTATTGTAAATTTGAGACTCACCTGGTATGTTCATTCTGAGAAAGTTTCTAGAGGAAAAGCTGACAAGAGTATGTGCAGTTTTGAGTGGTTATCTACAGAAAGTGGAATCATAGCTATTCTGTGTCTTCACTTAGATAATAATACAGTAGGAAGGGATAGTATTGTATTTAAATAGTTTGAAGTTGCATAGAAATCCAAAACAAATGTATATGTTTTTCTACGTACATGGTAGACATCTAAAAAATTAGATGGGAGAGCTAGATGTCATATTTTAAATGAGACTACTGATAATATAGTTCCAATGTAAAATTTATGCAAAGGAAGGCATCAATGTGGATAATGTTTCTTCTGCATATTTTGTGTTCTGATATGTCAGTGGATGCCATGTAGGCAGAAAAGTTGTGATGCACATTTAAAAAACAAAGCAGAAAATAAATGTTGCATTGAGGATTCCTAACTTCAAGTCCAAGTAAGGATCTATCATATTTAATATTCTGTTGTTGTCCATCTAATCAATCACAGTAGTACTAAAGGTTACTCTTGTGTGTTGGGTAAATGGCATATTGAGGATCAGATCCTGAAATGTAATTGTTAGAAATAAGTAAGGGATTGACAGGTGAGATTTTGTTAAATCCATGAGAGGATCAGCTCTTGAGTGGGTACATTGGTACAATCTGTATCAGAATGCTACAAAGAGAGATTTTGTAACTCTCTTATGCATCACCAGCCTTATACAGTTATGAACTCTACAACTGAAGGCTATTAGAATAAAAGCACTTATGGAAGAGAATCTGAAGATGAGTCTCAAAAGTAAACTCCTTGTTTGCAGTGTGAAAGCAGGTGCAAAAGCATTCATCAAAAGAATAAGTGTAGAAAGATCAATGGGAAGCAAACATGGCTCATCAGCAGTGTGAAAGTTGCTGCTGAAAGCAAGCAGGTGTACTTCAAAAAACATAGCTTTATCTGAGGAAGATGGATACAGATAAAAGAATTCAGGTGGATACAGGTAAGGTTCATGGAATCAGTAAGTCCCCCATAACATCCTTCTCTTCAGATTGGAAACATACGGATTTTACAAGTGAACTGTTTGATGAATGGGGAATTGGTTACAAGATTGTACTCAGAGAGCGGTGGTCAGTGGCTCAATGTGTGGATGAAGGTCAGTGACAAGTAGTGTCCCTCGGGGTCAGTTCTGGGACCAGTGCTGTTTAATATCTTAATTGATGGCATCCACCCACAGTGGGATCGTACACCTTCAGCAAGTTTACAAATGACACCAAGCTATGTGGTGCAATCAACATGCACGAGATGCCAAGGATGGTACGAGATGCCATCCAGAGAGATCTAGACAGACTTTAGCAGTGGGCCCGGGTGAACCTCATGAGATTCAACAAGGCCAAGCCAGTCTTTCACCTGACTTCACTAGCAACACAAGCTGGGGGATGTAAGGATTTAGCACAGCCCTGCCAAAAAGGGCTTGGGGGTACTGGTGAATGGTAAGCTGAACGTGAGTCAGCAGTGTGCGTGTTCTTGCATCCCAGAAATCCAACCATATCCTGGACTGCATCAAAAGAAACATGGCCAGCAGGTGGAGGGAGATGATCCTGCTCCTCTGCTCTGCGCTGGTGAGACCTCTCTGGGAGCGCTGTATCCCGATGTGGAGTCCTCAGTACAGGAGAGACATGGACTTGTTGAAGTGCGTCCAAAGGAGGGCCGCAAAAATGATCTGATCATTGGAATGGAAAAAAAATGTCCTCTAAGTGTCAGTAAAAACAGAGTAAAAAGTAGTAATGTTGATTTTTATGTGATGCTCCATTGTTTTGATCACTCTGTTTATAAGTACCCATTAATAAAATCATAATGCTTTTAATCACAGAATTAATTATTCTATATCATTCGTTGTTGTTGTTATTATTTTAGGAAACTCTGAGCTGAGAGACAAAGAGGACCAATTTGGAAGAACTCCACTTATGTACTGTGTGTTGGCTGACAGGGTAGACTGTGCAGAGGCATTGCTGAAAGCTGGAGCAGATGTTAACAGGGCTGATCGTAGCCGAAGAACTGCTCTCCATCTTGCTGCACAGAAGGTAATTAAATAAGTGCTCTGCCATAATAGAAACTTCTGGCATTCACAGCAAGTATAAAATAGATTTTCTTGTATTGAATATGTTTTTATATCTTTAGAAACCTTTGTTGTTATAGAGGTCAATTTTATATATATATATATGTAAAAATTGTCTTTGTGGCTGTCCGAAGAGAAAGTTCACCATGAGGACTGTGAGCCTCTAGGTGAGAGTGTAGGGAGTGGCTTTTGTCTCACTGTAACAGTGGAACAAGTCCAAGACCTCCTCATGAAATTGAATGTGTATAAGTCCATGGGGCCGGATGGGTTCTGAAAGAGATGGCTGATGTGGTTGCCGAGCCGCCCTCCATCATATTTGAAAAAGCATGGGCTGTCTGGTGAACTCCTTGGTGACTGGAGAATCTTGCAGTACTTCATTCAGTCTCATTTAAAGCTGCACCAATATAAGCTACTTTCCTTTATTTTCTTTCCTGTATCATGCAAAGGTGCTGGTAGAAATACCTAACTTAAGATGAAGCTATTTGTGTTTCTCTAGAGAATGATAAATAAAATCATTTATTTGCCATTTCTTGTCTTTCAGTCTTTATAAAATAGTCTGCGTTGTTTTAGTCCTGTTATAGCATAAAGCATCAGAAATACTGAGTTCAGTCATAAACCCTCAGTATTAAGTAAAATGAGTTAGAACAGTAATTTCCTTTGTTCTCTGAGATAGGATTCTCATTGGATAAGACTTTGGACATCAGTAGACAGTACCAAAGATTTTGTGACTTACTTTCTATTAAAAATATTCCTGATAGCATAGCTAGGCTGACCTACTTGTGCTATTCCATGTTCTTTTAGATCCAGAGGCTTTGACAGAAGTAAAAAGTGAAATTGATGTGATAACTTCAGCAACTCTGTCTAGGGTGGTTTTGTTATGAAGGTCGTCTTTACCAATTAATGAGGAAACTGAGATTTCAGAACTGACATTCTTGTCTTGACATGCTTTGTCCAAGTAACTTCCGTAGCTGGAACATATCTTCAAAGCTGTAGTTACCTTGGAAGATATACTGGATTCTCAACAAAGGGTTTGTGGAATCTCTCTGCCTCAAACTTCAATGATATTATTCTGGACTATTCACAAGAAGTGAAAGGGTTAGAATACTCCCTTACTGGCCTTTTTCTGTAGCGCATTTAACTCACAATTTATTTTGCCTGAAGTTCTTGAAGTTAATAAGATAGGGTTGGAAAATTCAACTGTTAATACTACTTGGAATGTCAGTACTTATGGGACAACCATGGTTATGCACTGACATGATAACCTTTGCTGATTTGTTGTTTAATGGTAGTAATTATGTTCTTAATTGTAAGTCTTCTGTACTTTACATTACATATCTGTTATGAATTTCCTCTTTGTTAAAGAGCTTTAAGAGAGGAAATTAATGCAGCTGCAAGATGATGAGGTGAGAATAAGCTCATATAAATGTAGAGATTTATATTGCAGACCGGAGATAGTTCTCTAGATCACTTCTAACTTGCTGAAGAGAATCAGGCACTTCCTTGGCGTAATTCGTTCACCCTAGAGTATAAGATGTACACCGATGTACACCTTAGAACACATGTATTAGCTTAGTCATCCTTTTAGGCAACTAACTAATGTAACTCTTGGTGTTGTAGTTGTCTAAATTGTGACAAATGTATTTCATGGTAAGGCATATGTTTTTAGTAAGTAATTTTCAAATCTTCATTTATATGATGTTTCATACTGTCTTTATTTTGTCCATCAACCTTCAGATAGAGCTGGATGAATGTTTCGATGTTTATAGGCAGAAGGCTTTGTAAATGAAGTTACCTGGCTGGTCTTCTGTGAGTTTTCTTCTATTCTACTCTACAAAGAAAAAGTTTTTGTCTCTCATACTAAAATAGACAGGTGTCCCAAACAATTTCAAGGGTCTACTTTCTTTAAAAAGTAAAAATAAAAAAAGAGGAAGGTGGGAAGGTCCAGGCACTAACTTCAGAAGATTAAAAGGCAACAAAAAAAGGAAAGATACAAAGTATGGCAGCAGTGCACTGTGGAGATTGCTGAAGTAGTTTCAGATGACATCTGTGACTTCGTAAATATGTATGTAATTTAATGAGAATTGAAACAGCAACTAATTGCAACAGAAGTAAAATCATTAACATGATTTGCCAGTAATTTAATAGTGAGCAATTGTATTAATGTGTAGCTGTAGTATTTTTCTTTTATGAAATAAACTTGCTGTGGAGAAAGATATGAGTACTGAGATTTGCAGTTTAATGAGATACTCGTTTTCACTTGTGTTTTCTTCTAGTCTTAAATGACATCTTACATGAATACCAACATGTGATATTTCTGAACAGAAATGTTTCTACGTATCCAAATTGCCTGTATGTGATTTTTTTAAAATTTATCATTTATTCATGAAAAAAAAAAAAAAAAAAGGAAAAAGTAACAAACAACAGGCCTGCCTCCTTCTGATTTTCTCAGAGAGGAAGCTCACTTATTACCAGTCTATTTACTCTGGGGAAGTAACTATCTCTATGAATTCCCTATGCACAGCATTTTGTGTTAACAAGGATAAAAGAAAAAAAGTCAATAGTTTCGTTGTTGGATGCTAATGGTATGTGCTTAAAGTAATCTATCAGGTTGCTTAACTATCAGGAGGTTGGTTTTGGGAGGATTCATATTGTCCTGGTGGGAAAATATGCCTTTTATTGTCTAAAAGCGCTAAATATTCAATCAGTTAATTAAGTTCTTTGCTGACACAGTTAATGTGAGAAATAATTTTGTCCAGGATGCAGTTAGGACGCATGTGTGAAGTGTATGTTGTATATATATGCTGTGTATATTTTAAGAATTTTTAATTTTTCTTAAACTAGAGAAAGTGAGTTGATCAGTAACCATACAGGTAAAGAAATAATGTTATTTCACCTTTCTTCACCAAGGGGAAGATGTTTTTTTAAAAGCTCCTGAATAAAGCTTGGCTGGGAGCATGCTTACACCTTTTTTCCTCACTACCTTCTTCAGACTGTGTTCCTTGGAGCTGTAATATGCTCCTCTGTAACATGTAGTATAGATCCTTTTAAATCATTTATAAGGGGTTATTTGCACTGAATAGAAGAACGTGTGCACTTCTAATATTTTTTCCCAATCTATATCATGTATATAAATATATAATCATAGTGTCTTTCAGAGATTATTGTGGTCAGTTCATGTTCTTTTTATCCTAGACAGGTAACTTTTTCTAAAATTCCCTCTTAAGAGAAGCCTCATAGTGAGTACATACTAATTCTCTGCATATAGTTTCATATTGTGTGCATGAGATTTGCAGTCATTGTTCCATATTTTCATACAAATGTGCAATTTGACTCAGTGTTATAACATGCATGTGTGAAACATGCATGTGGCCAACCAGCCAGAATAGGTGATTTTATTTTTTTTCACCTGCATGACTATAGTTTCCTTTGTGTTTAAGTAAGCCACAGAAAATAACTATGTTTACTTTCCCAAACAAAGGATTCGTTTTCGTGAATGCATGGTGAAGATGCTTAGTGACAGAATGCAATATTTCTTGCATGTGTCATGTTACAGATAAGCTAATCTAGATACTGTTTATTAGCAAAAGGGTTAGTCCTGCCCCTCCCCTTCCTCCCACCTACTTTTCACAACTGTAGAACTGCTGTCTGTTCAGTGAGTCAGAAAATGAGCTCTACAAAATGATGATTCGTTTTCTGCCTGTTGGGGGGAAGATCCCATGCTTCTGTATGCTTTCACTATTAGCTGTGCTGATGCTACATATTAATTTGTGCTGTAAGTCAGGTAATTGAAATGATTAAAAATAACTACAGGAAAAGTTTGGGAAAAACAAACTAACCACTCTTTGTTACAGAGGTCTGATTTACAATATGATCCCCTAGGAAGTTGCTCTGTCTGCAAGGTTGGAATTTACTAAATGACCCTTTACACCATAAATTTAAAAAAAAAAAAATAATCTTAAATCCTTATAGTAAGAATTTAGCAGCTTTCCATTTGAGTTGAGGGAGGACTAGGGAAGGCTTTTGGAGTTTTATGAATCTGATAAATTAAAAAAAAAAAAAAAAAGATAAATAAGAATCTGTGGCTTTCTTTCAGTATCTTGTCTGTCTCCATAAGTCTTCCTTTGACTTATTTTACCTCTGCATAAATCTGTACTGTTTTAAGAATCAGTGAGCAAAATGTTGAAGTCTGAGGTTATGGTCTTGAAATCAAAGTATTGGCCTTTCCTAAGGAAGATCAGCTTTCCAACTTAGCATCCCTAATTTCACTGTTTCCCCATTGAAACATGCAAGTAACATCTTGCACATATGTTAGTCAGAAAAGTTATTTTGTATATAGCCAAAGAGAAAGTCATTTGTCTGAGAAGATTCTAGGAAGTCAGGCAACACTAGATATTAAGAGAATGGTTGGAAAACTGTCCTGTGCATTTTTCAACTTCAGAAACTTATCTTGATTCATTATTGCACCGAAGGTGTGAAGAAGAGGGAGGGCCTTCTGAGTCACTTGAGGTAAAAACTAGAGAGCAGCTTAATTGAAACCAAATGATGCCCAGTTTCTTGTGGATTCTTCAGCTTTCTGTAAAAGCTGAATAACAGTTTTGATGATGCGGAGACCTTTATTTGGCCATTACTTTGAGAGACTAATATACAGTTTTTATACATTCAGACAGCACATTTTCAGCTTACACACTTTGTCATGCTTTCATAACAGTACAAGGGCATACATGTTGATTACTCATTAAGTGCTAAGCCTCTAGTCATTTGGTATCTAGTAGTTAACTGTCTCTACTGTCAAACTGTGGGTTAAAATCCAGCCAGTGCTCTTGTCAGCACAGCATAAAACTTCAGAAATACTGTTTTCACAAGTCTGATTTCACTCACACAGCAAATACTAAGACATCTGAGTCTGCTTTCTTACTGGCTTTATGTTAGTGTAAAATCACAGTTTAGGAAAAGGTTATGTGAAAT